TGGCCCGAGTTAAGAGTTCCTCGCCTATTTTTAGAGTACTACCACTGTCGGCTAATTTGTTAAATTTAAATTTTGTTTCTGTGCATTTCTTGGTGTTGACAGACATTTTGTCGTTCACATATATGTAGATCTTCACGTGCGGAATTTTGTTCTCATTTACCTTTATCAGAAACAATAATGGGCCGAGGACCGTTCCTTGAGGGACACCGCAGTGAAGATCATTTTCATCGGATATTTGGTTGTTTGCACGAGTCCTCTGGGAGCGAAGGTTGATGAAGGAAGATATCCACTTGACCCAGCCCTCGTGGAAACCCAGAGAAATCATTTTCTTAATTAATGTGGTGTGGTCGATGAGATCAAATGCTTTCCTCAGGTCGATGGTGACGGTAGTGACCTCGAGTCTTTTGTCTACATTTGAAGTGATATAATTGATCAGGTCAACTAGGAAGTGGACTGTGGAGCTACCCTTGGTATTTCCAAATTGGCGATGATCTAATTTGGGGGCGAATATTTTCCACAATTCTTTAGCAATTATTCTCTCGAGTATTTTGCAAGGAATAGGTGTTAATGATATGGGCCTAAGGTCATCGAGAGAATTAGGTGGATTTGTTTTGGGAATTGGGACTGTGATAGCACGCTTCCATAGGTCAGGCACCACGCCCTCAGTGATGGAGCAGTTAACGATGTTGCAGAGGGGGGGGGCGAGCTCGGGAGCGAATTCACGTAGTAACCTCGCATGTCATCAGGGCCAGGAGATTTGATTTTTGCTATCCTTTTTAAGTGTTGGTACACGTCGTATTCGCTGACAATTGCTTGCAGAGGGCGCGAGGGTAAGTTGGCAGTTCTGCTGATTGTAGTGGTGGGAATAGCTTGTTGATGTTCGCAAAGTGACAGTTGATGATATTAGCAGCGCTTTCTGGCGAGTCGGCAATTTCGCTGATGTGAGAGAGGTAACTGTCACTTCTTTTGTCACCGATTAAATTCCGAATGTGGCTATACCACGATTTGGGATTTGCGTCACTGATTTTATCAATTATTTGCTTATGATAATTTTTCTTAGCGATCTTATCTCTTGTCTAACTTTTTTTGCGAAGTACTTTGTTGTATCGATGTTTTTTGTTTTGTAAGCTTTTTGTCTTGCCAGGATAAGGTCTTTGATCCTGTTGGTGACCCATG